GGAGACTTCCACACCCACCGCTTTGATCATCTTCAGCTGGAAACTCGGTAGCAGTCGACAGCCAATATTTCTCCTCAATGTGATAGCCACTCCTTCTTCGCAGGAGCTGGTCCGGTCTAGCATTACGAGCCGAAAATCGGGGTGGTGAACATTTATCTCCGACTTCAGGTGTGTTTCGGTGATGACGGCGATGTCAATCCTATGTCCATTGAGGAAATCAACGAACTAAATGATTTTGCTTTTGAGCAAGCAATGAATGGAATTAACTATTTTGATGGCATCACGGACCATACTTTTGCACGAGGGTCATAACTGCACGAAGCTGTTCAGGTAGTGTCTTGGTGGTGCGCAAGATTATGATCACCTCAGTCACGAGGATCACTAGTTCGTCGCTTGTGAGTGGAGAATTGTCTTCTGACTCACCTGACACAGCACGGGCGTACGATAGTCCCGGGGCAGTAGAGCCATGGCTCGGCTGGGCCGCAGCGGCAGTGAGACGATGCTGAACTGAACGGTGGCTGGGACCCGCTTGATCTGATGTTGGATTCGCAACAAAGGGGTGCTGGTTTAGTGGAAGCGGTGCTAGGTTCGGAACCATACGACGAGCCTGAAGTACTGGAAACGAGTCCTTGTTGACAATAGGAGCACGATTATTGCGGTGGCGACCAGGTTGGTTCCTTGTGGAAGCCTGTTGTCGGATCTGGATGAAGGCCGCTCGCTTGGGACAACTCCTGTCGCTGCTCACATGGTTGGAATCTGAGTGGTGCGAAGACGGACCTCAAAATCGAACCACTTTCGAGCTGTCAAATCGAACCACTTTTTTATCATTGTGGTTCGTTGAAATAGATAGAAGTATTGTTATCGTCCAAAATAAAAAATAAATATTTTTCAGTAATGTTTTTGATCTTTTTAAAAACGTGATTCGAAACGACTCAAACAATTAAAAATAACAGTATTATTGCGTATTTTGGACCAAAGTAGACTCCTGCGCTGAAAAAAACCCCTCCGATTTTTTTTTCGCTCAGGAACGACTGTGACTTCGGAGAACGTTCTAAGGAGATTTGTGATGATAGTACAAAAGTTCCAGGAAATTTCAGCAGATTTTTCCCGCGACAGAAGAGGTTTCAGTGGATATTTTAGTTGCTGCCAGCGAGGTTCTACGGGGGTTCTATAGAGTTTTCATGTTCGAGTTTCACACGATTTGGAGGGAAGTCAAATCGTTGCCATTGGAGGTCCCAGGGAATTTCGACAGCACTTCCACTGAATAGGCTTCGCTTTTCGTCGTGTCCATCTTTATAATTGCAAAAGTGAGCAAAACACTTCATTCTGAATTTTATTCCACTCCGTAAAAACTCCAGCTATGAACAATGTCAACAAACAATCACAAAGTCACGAATCGGCTCTGCACAAAAAGCCGTTTGACACTTCTCTCTACCAACCGACGGTGATGAAACGTTTATTTCAACACTACCAACATGAAGAAAATTTCACTTCGCACCACTCAGGTTGGAATCACAGTTCACGCACTTAGGTTCAGCTTCTTGTTCCTTCTTGCAGGCGGTAGTATCAACAGGTGGAAACTAACGATTTAAAATTGGTTCGCTACTTGACTAGCCTATTGGTCCCAAGCAAATCGATTAACGTACCCCATTTTAGTCGAAATTCTAGTACTACACAATGTTTGTTTTGATTCGCTATGAAAGTTTGACAGATAAAATGAGGGGTTAGTGGATTTTTCTATGTTTCGAGGGGTGAATCGATTAGCTTGGGACCGAAGATAGTACCAGAGCTGAGCCAAAAAGTTGAGCAAGTTTCTTCGGGACCTACTAGTCTAAGAGTTACCTCTATATGGTAGTATTGTGAGCCCCAGCACATTTTCCACAACGAGCCTGCATGTGACAATTCTTCGTACCGTGCCCAAATGCCAGACAATTAGTGCACTGTGTCACGTCACGATGCCGAGGGCGATACTGCTCCCACTGAATCACGATGTTGAAAAGCGCGCGAATCTGCCGCAGAGTAGCCACACTGGTGGAGTCCTTATCGAAGTGCACCAGGTACAACTGGTCCCGGAATGCACTGGTTTCATAACGTCTCGCAATGGGAAAAATGTTGATCGGTTGCACATGAAGGAGCTCCAATTCCGCTTTAACCTCCGCCACAGGGAGATTTGGAAGACCACGGATCACCATTTTCAGTGGTTTCCTTCTAGAACTAGAATCAAACCAAAAGAAATCGCTCTTCCGAAGTGGGTGATTTGCGTATTTTTAAAAATCCTGGTAGATGATCCCTTGAGCTCATAAGATTCACAAGATTACGTAATTCTTTTTAGCCAAAAGAAATCGAAATGAATTTCATACCTTATGAAAATAATGTAGACAAAAAAATTGGAAGGGGACAGACTAGAATCGAACCATGGACTGTCAGTAAGAGACCAATGCTTTAACTACTTGTTTATTAGCTCAAGTCAAATGGAAGACGCTAAAGGCGTATAAGAGCTACATTTTGTAAGACGATTAGCTTTCAGAAGTCGCACAAAGAAAATTCCTACGAGCAGCAAGCGTGTTTTCCGAAATCGAAAACACTCGGCTGCGGTGTTTGCCGAAGTCAGAAACACTCGGCTTTGGTGCTTGCCGAAGCATCCATACACCGGTGCAAACAATTATGCACGGGCACCGGTGCCTTGTTTGCTGCTTTTGGTGTTTTCTATCGAGCACTGGTACGGAACGTAAAACTCAATGCTCTTCGTGGTGTGTTTGTAGGCAAAACTGTCACCCGTGCAAAAAATGACGAGGCTCGGTAGCTCAGTGGTTACCGTTTCTGCTTACTGAGCAGAAGGTCGGGAGTTCAATCCCAGGCCCGTTCCCTTCCTTGCAATTTTTCACTTTGCCTTATTCTATACCCACTAGATTTTAATGAAAACAAATTCTTCTTTAACACCGATCGCATCACTTACCACAGTGTGGGTTCTGATCTAAAAATAGAAATTTGATGAGTGCGCACGCGTGTGTGTGTGTGTGTTTGTGTATTATAATCGCTCTACCAAAAACGATCCCTGCGTGTGCGTGCAACCTTTCCCCACATCCAACATCCCAGTGATTTCTCGTGGAAGCGCAGAGGATTTCTCGGTTTCCTTCACAGCGAGTACCACGTCAACACATTCCTTCCCATTCCCTAGTTGACCTGAATTTGAACACGGCCGGCGCTGGTATTGCTAAATATTAGATCTCCGGTTCTTACACATTGAGGATGAATCTTAGTCCCAAACATCATCTGTTGGTTCTCTGTGTAATTGCAGCTGATCTGGTAATAACAGAGCAGCAACCGTGGGCGGTCAATCTGATTTTTTTTCACCCGTGCAAAAGGGTTCGGTGTTTTTACCACGGCTGCTTTTCGGGGCATCTTGAACGAATGGGGTTGCATCCAAACTTTGGCAACCCATCACCTTTTGTTTTTTCAACGGGTGAGTGGAGGCATTCAACTGTTGCTTCACTACCGCCGATTTAGCGACTGCCACAAGAGAGGCGAGAACTGACGACACTTGCTAGCCAAACGACGGGTACCACGTCCAAACGACGGACTTAGAACACCGAACGACTCGAGAGAGCGAGCGAAAAGAGGACCCGACTGTACAGCTTGATGGTCAATCCGATCAACGATTGAGGGCAGCCCTTACAGCTAACTGCTTGCAGAGTGTCGTTCGTTGTATACTGGAGAACACCACCACTCACCACGTGGTGATTAAATAAACACCGTTTGGTGAGACCGGATAGAATTCAAATTTGAAATCTGTGTTAGAAAAATTGCTTTTCGCAGGCAATTCGTGACAATTTTAATTATCATAGCAACAGTTGCACATTCGTTCAATTTTCAACAGTTACTTTTTGGAAAATGATTAAGTATTAATTAATAAGATGCGTAGAAATATTTCTGATCGATTGGTGATAAAATTATTTAAATCGGTCCAGGGGCAGCTGAGTTATTAACGTTCAAAATCTTTCATAATTTTGTTACATGTTCCATTTTTGGTTTTCACAAAGTGTACCCCCATATAGAAATCACAGACGTAGTCCTACGGCAAAAGCTGAGTTCCATCGCACTTTTGTAACGGTGCTTCTAGCTTTACCTATTTCGGTGCGTTCCAACCGCAACTAATATCAACATAAGCCCAGGGATATGTTCATTCTGTTTCCACGTATTTCACACCCAAACGATCCCCAATCGAATGGTTTGATTTAGTTTCGCCGATATTGCCGTTCGAACCCGCATCGGAACTCGTTGGTGTTTGCGTTTATTTATTGAGATGTGTATAATTATTATGCAAGCCTAGCGAAAGCAAAAAGCGGATTTTCGCTTTTCTCTAACCAAGGTGCTACTAATTTGACCGAAAATCGATTGCCATCCATCCGTCCTCGTTCCATTATGGTCTAGTCAACTGTGGCGAGAATTCCAAATGGTCTGCACGACAATGCCATCAAAGAAGGCGATTGATTCCGGTACAGAAATGAAGCATGCCGGCTGATAATGACTCGGTAAAATGGGTAAAATGTGACTCATCATCCTAGTTGGGCGGTTGTTGGCACTGACGACACCCAGCGATCACCGAGCATTAGTAGGCCAATGTGTAAATAGTGGAATTTCCGAAACGGATTAGGCAATCGGTTATTGGTTTTCGAACGGTTCTTGCTTTTTGACTTTGGTCAGACACGACGAAACACGTGTCGTTGCGGACGGGTCGAATTTTCGTCATTCGGTGTAAGCAAACATAATTCCTCGGATACTGCCGTAGTTGTTAGTCGCGTTACAAGCGGTCAGATTTTTTTCCAAGCCAAATTTTGTGTTGGTATTACGATAAAGATTGATCAACATTATAATAGTTTATAAGAAAAAGTATCTCATTGAAGCCGACTCATGGCACGTTTAAAATTTTACTCGCGTTCTCTTGGAACCATTGACGTTTTCACAGCATACTAATGAAACATTGTTTACTTTGTTTTCAGGCCGCGTCGGTTCAACGCCGGACAAGGGCGTCCCGGATATGACATGCATCTCGGACATTGACGAAAATGGCATCAACCGCAACTTGCAAGTGCGCTACGAACGGGACCAGATTTATGTATCCTTTTCAACGATAAAAATAACAATAACAAAACACAAACAGAAGCTCACGGTGCGTATTAGACATCAAAGCAGGCACAAATGCACCCGGAAGATTAATGGTAATATGACGATAAAACAAAATCTAATTTGTCATCTAGATTTTTTTTGTCGAGAACGATGATTTCCCATCTGATGAGAATCACTTCAAAGGGTTAGCACAAAGTCACCGTATTTTTTCCATCTCATATTCTACTTTATGAGACAGCTGAGAATTATATGATGGATGGAAGCAAATTTTCGGCTGTTCCGGGAAATGGTTCATCCATCCATCCGTCCGTCCATAACTGCATGCGGGCATTAACATTACGAACGATAATGGGATTACATGGGACCCGCTCACACTTTTAAGTAAAGGGGAGAATCACAAAAGAGGAGAAAAAACTTGTGCGGAAAAAGGAGCATACTTTTTTTTCTTGATTCTGAAGGAAAACTGATTCGTTTGGTTTTGGCTTATAAATCTTGTTTTCACGCTGGAATGAACTAAATGGAACGCTTACGTAGGTATGCAGTAGGCGGCGTGTGGGAAAAAGGGGGTGTTTGAGATATTTATCAATCTAGTGCTCGGACGTCGAATAAGCGCTTTGAAGAATGGATTAAAGTGTTTAGCTTTTAAATTAGAACACGCTTTCGGTATTTTTTTCTTGTATGCCTCTCTTCGTGTCTATGTAGAGGAGTCTGTGCTGATGTGGTTCGTATTAAATTAAAGTTAGATACGGTTGAAGCAGCATCTGCTGGAGTGCTTAAGTTTGCTATGGGAGTTTTGTGAGTGATGATCGTGCGCACTAAAGCAGTTTGTTTTGCGTCATAGAAATTAAGTGAATAATATGAAGTATCAATAGCTTTGAAATTTTTAAAACTAGCTTTTTGTATTTTTAATGATCAGTGTGTATCTATTTTACCTCATGGCCAGATACACCGATTATAAGGTTCATCAGAATACCGATTTTTGAGGTGTTATTCCGATTTATACCGATTTTTTTATATAATCAAAATGATTATTGCCTACCCGCGCTCAGAATTTCGGAGAAAATTATTGTATGAGACTTATATCCTTTTGAATATCTCAATTTTTTTTGAGATTTTTAATTCTAAAAAAAAACATCTTATGGATACTCTTTGGATTAATGTTTCAACAGTCGATGGCTCTTTCTGGTAATTCCGGGAGAATCGGGAAATATTTTTAAACATTTTTAACTTCCTGGATTTTCTTCCAACTTTCCCCTAGAATTTTCTATCTACGATTCCTCTCGGAAACTTATTTTGACTTCCCTTAGAAGCTTCTTGAGCCTTCACTCGAATGATTCTTCCCGGAACTTCAGGGATGCTTCTAGATTTTGATTGCGGATCCACGCTAGCTGCAGGAACTTTTAAAAAGTTCTGAAAATTCAGAAAAGTCCAGACGCTTGAGTAAGTTTCGATAAATTAAAGAATGTTTCAATAACTTCTGTGAACTTAAGGAAACATAATAAATATTTAGGATACTTCACAAGTCCGAAGAACTTCTGGAAAATTTAATGGTTTTCAGGACAGTTCCATTAGTTTCAGAAAAAGTGAGAGAACTTTAGGAGGCTCCGAGAACATCAGGACAGATCAATAAATTTCAAGGAAATTGCTGAAATGTTAAAGGAGTTCGGAAAAACTCAGGCAATTTCCGAAAACATCAGCAATGTTCCGAGGGGCTCATGCAAATTTAAGAAACGTAAGGGAAGTTACACGTACATTAGCACATTGTGAGAACATTTTATGGGAAGTTCCGTGCTTATTAATGGCAGTGTCGTTAACTTTTAAAAATTAGAAAAATCGGGAAGATCAGAGAACTTCAATGCTGATGTTACAATAAATTCAAGAACATTGTGAGAGCGCTTAGGAAATTTCGTAATCTTCAAGAAAGTCTAGAGACCTTCAAAGTTGATAAGAGATATTCTGGTAGTCACATTATAATCAGGGAGGTTCCAAGTATTTCAAAGATGATCAGAGTACTCCAAAACAGCCCGAGGAAATATGGAATATTCCTAAGTACATTTCAGGAATGTTCCAAAAACTTCAGGGGCATTGCGGGGTCTTCAGGGATGTTTTATGAATATCAGGAAAAATTTCTGGATCATTAGAACATCCCCCAAGAGCTCTTTCTTCCGGAATTATGTCCTTGTTTCTTTCGACTGTTCCGTTAGCGCTCTGGCCTCCGACTTCCTCCAGAATTTGTTTTCCAATTTCTTTATGAAGTTTCTGCCAGCGTCTCCAGGAAGTTACTTCCGTCTTCTTCAGGAAGTTCAATTAAACTTCTCCCAGAAATTTCTTTCGTCTAGTTCTGAAATTTTGCCCAGTAGGTTTTTTTTACTTCTTTTGGAAGGTTTTTCCGAGCTTGTTCTGGCTTCTCCTGGAAATGGCTACTTCTGAAATTTATTTCCTATATCCGAAACTTTTTTGCCTTCCTTTGAAAGTGAAATCCGATTTTTTTCGGAAAGTTTCTTTAAATTTTCGCCAGAAGTTTCTCAATTTATGTCTTGAAAATTTAGCGGATGTTTTTCCGACTTCCCTCATAACTTTCCTCAAATTTCCTCCAGGAGAGCTTCTTTCTTCTTTCTCTGGATGTTGTTTTCAGCTTCCTCCAGAAGCTAATTTAAACATTCCCCGGAGTTTTCTTCCGGAATTTTCCAGTCATATTCCAAAAATAAGCTTTAAAATATTCTGGCAACGCTGCTCATGGCATTCAGCCGAATGATGCATCACGTCGAAAACTTTGTTCCCTTCTATTTAGAAACCTTGCTGACACTGGTCCAGTGTGAAGAATGTCCGGCATTTGGTGCACAATGGTACCAAGTGAATTCTTTGGAACGCTACAAGAGAATTTCGAAGAGAATTATGGAGAAGAAGCTAGTTCTCGTGATAATTATGAAAAATTCCAAGAGAATAGTTGAATACCAAACAATTTTATGAAGAGAGATCCTAAAGAATTCCGTGGAATTATGTAACTCCAATATCCCTTCATGGTATCCAGGAATTGTCAAAATAATTGGGATACATAAAAATAAAATTCTGGCCACAGGAAAACAATTCAATATTCGCAAAGTATAGAAAATTTTGGGAAAAACTGGAAGATGACGTTACGCTGAATATTTGCAAACTAGTTCAAACCAGAGACGATGTTATATAAGAGAAGCGCGGAGAGAATAAAAGTAAATCTGATTGCACGGCCTACTAATTTCTTTTTCTGCAAGGTTTGGCAACGCGCAATTTTGTGTTTACTTCAAGTGACTTTTAATGTGAGCGCTTTGTCGTCTGCTTCAGCATCCAGCATCGCGGTAAAATGAATACTTTTTTAACCGTATCGGTAGTCTCGCTATTCAATGGAAGTATTTGAAGACTCAATTTTTGACAACTCTGAGTGAAACCAAATATACCACATGGGAGAGTATATTCTACAGAGCGTTGCACAAAATTATTCAATCTGCGATTGCAGCTTCCTATCATGTATGAGTGAAATCTCTCTTTCACAAATTTTACTAACTTGAAAAATTACACCGATATTTGTAACAGAGCCTATGTAGATGCATTTCGTTGTGCTGGAGCAAATATTTCGTGAGAACATAACGCGAATTCAGCTGGTGAATAACAATAATATTCCCTGTCCAATTTCACGTTTCATACGCAAATTTAATTATAATTATTTAAATCTCAACGGTTAACCAGCGTCTGGCTGAAAATCTCCTTAATAAAGACAACCAACCTCAACAATTAAATTAAACACCAATCTCAATACTTCCCACGCTTTTCTTCGTGAAGCGCTCGTGTTTATTTTACATTGCTCGATTAGAACCGCGTTTGACGGTTCGATTGGAACTTTTGGCTTCAGTCTTCGCGCATCTCTTGTTTAACATCGTCTCTGGTTCAAACCACTTGTTTTATTTTATTTAGTTCGTTTACTTGAAAGGCTCAATGGCGTTAGCTTTACGAAGCCGACAATTCTAGATAGAGCTGGAATTAGGGCGTAACAGCTTTTGTAAACAATGACTTCTCTTGATGATTTCTCAAAAAGTCATAGCTCTCCCTGGCAAATCTACATCACCATCGAGTAGGGGGCCATTGAAGTGGTGGTTAGTTGTCCTCCCGAAGAATCACGATGCTGCCTATACTGATGGTGCTTGGTAGACGGTATTTACTTGCTTCTTGAAGTCCAGTGATGTACTCTTGACTACAACGCTGCCAGTATCGCTACCCGAGCAGAGAATGAAAACAAAATGAAAACTAAGTTTGATATTTTGATATAAGCGTTCGTGATAACATATTTTACATACCGTGTGGTCGAGTTAACAGTAATCATAACAAAAATGAGGTCTAAATGGCATATGAAGGATATTAAAAAGATAACAAATCATGTTTTCTTGATAACAAATCTATGTATGCGTTTTGATATCAATATGTTTTTATAACTATGGAAGGAAAACAAAAAAAATTAAAATAGACTAAATTAGTTATTAGTTATAATGATATCAAATTAAGTAATCTGAATGTTTTGAAGTATATTGGTTAACACTCCGAATACGGTGGGTAAAAAACTTTACGCCGACTACGAAGCCTCCGAAAAACGTGTAACGGCAAGTTTGCAATATCATAACATAGCCATTTCTTAATGAATTTCAAAAATTGTGGTACCTTTAGAATTCCTAGGCTTTGTAGTTGTTTTTAATTTTAAAAAGATTGAAAATAGAGTCGTCTACTTTTTTTAAAAAGCGAAAAGAGTTGTTACACGTTTTTTTGAAAAGTGTGTTTGTAGGGTTTTACAAGTGGCGCAAGATCTGTAATTTAGATAATGGGCACAAATGTTCACAATTAGCCAGAAAACATTACCTGGATGGCCATGAGACCGTCCTCCGGAAGATCCGGAACATCCGTAAAAGTAGTAAACCCACGATCCTGATCCTAAAACTCCGCCTTTTTTTTATAAACATTAGGAAC